TTTTGCTGAGGAAGACTGGCCGTGGGCTAACATCTGTGCCCATCTTCTTCCACTTTATATGGGACACCGCCACAGGATGGCCTGACAAACGGTGCATCGGTGCGCGTCTGGGATCCGAACCCGGGCCTCCAGCAGCAGAGCGCGCGCACTTAACCTCTATGCACACGGGGCCGGCCCCTATATTTGGTCTTGTCTCCTACCATTTTACTTACCTTAATTATCAGTTCTAATAATTTTTTACTGGATTCCTTACAGTTTTCTAAAAACAAGATATCTCAACTAAAGTAGAGATAGTTTTACATCTTTCTAACCAATCTTTACGCATTTTATTTCCTTTTCTTGCATAATTATTCTGGCTAAAATCTCCAGTATATTCTGGAAGTGGCAAGAGCATATATCCTTCTTTGGTTCCTTATCATAAAGGGAAAGCATCCAGTCATTTATAATTAAATATAATATTAGCTGTGGCTTTTCCATAGATGCTCATTATGACGTTAACATATTTCCTTCTATTCCTGATAATCTGAGTGCCTTAATCATGAAAGGGTACTGGATTTTGTCAATCATTTTCCCTGACTCTATTGAAATGATCTGCCATTTTTGCTTTTATTCTATTGATATCCTTTATTACATAAATGCATTTTGAGATGTTAACCCAACCTCTCATCCCTGGAATAAATCCCACTTTGTCATGGTGTATAATCTTTTGTATATTGCAGGATTGGATTTGCTGGTATTTGTTGTACTGGCCTCATGAAATGAGTGCAAAGTATTCTCTCCAGTCTAACTTTAAAGAGTGTGTGAAGAATCGGTATTAAATAATCTTTGAATGTTTCAGAGAATTCTGTGTTGAAGCCATCTAGGCCAAGTCTTACTCTGTGGGTAGCTGTTTGTTTACTAATTCAGTGCCTTCACTTGGTCTAGTTCTATTCAGATTTTCCTCTTATTCTTGATTTAGATTCAGAAGTTTCCGTCTTTCAAGGAATTTGTCCATTTCATCTCAGTTATCTAATTTGTTGCCATACAATTGTTGACTGAATTATAATCGTTTTTATTTGTGTAACGTGAGTAGTAACATCCCTCTTTCTTTCTGATTGTATGAATTTGAATCTTCCTCCTTTTTCTCTAATTCAATCTAGTTGCCATATTTGTTCATCTTTCCATAGAACCCACTTTTGGTTTCACTGATTTTCTCTGTGGTTTTTCTATTCCTCATTTCCTTAATTTCTGCTCTAATGTTTATTATTTCCTTTCCTCCTTGCTTTGGGTTTGGTACCTCATCTTTTCAATTCTGTCAAGGTAAAAAGTTAGGTTATGGATTTGAGATCTCTCTTCTTTGTTAGTATAGGCATTGATGGCTATAAATTAATTTCTTTGTACTGTTTTAGAGGCAGGCCATAAACTTTGACCCTTTAGGTATGATATAATGTTCCTCATTATCTCTAGAGATATTTTTTGTTTTAAAGTCTCTTTTGCTAGATATTTGTATTATCTCTCCAGCTTTCTTGGGAGGGCTATTTCCAGATGTACATTTTTGCATGCTTTTACTTTCAATCTGTTCGCATCTTTGAATCTATAGTGCGCTTCCTGTACATAGCATATTTAGATCATGGTTTGTTTTTTAAACCTGAGGTGACAATCTCTCTCTTCTGTTTGGATTCTATTCACATTTAGTATTACTGACATAGTTGCAATTACATGTGCCATTTTACTTTTTCTCTACATTTCTCCTGTAGTTTTTAGTTTCCCTTCTCCTTTTGTGAATTTCTATTGCATTAATTGAATATCTTCTAATGTAGCATTTTAATTTTTAAATGACTTCATTATATTTTTGAAGTTTTTTTTAGGGGTTGCTCTACTATTCAACATATACTTTTTAATTTATAAGAAGGAGCTTCAGATTTCCACTATCTTAATTCCAGTGATATATGGAATCCTTACTCATACATAGCTCTATTCCCTTTTTCCAGTTTTGTGGTATTATTGTTATACAGATTATATCTATTAATGATGTAACCAATAATATACTGTTACACTTATTTCTTTACCATCTGAACTCACTTCCTTAGTCCCACACAGCTTTGCTCCCGCCCATGACCTTTGTGATTTTAATGACAAACAAATGACATATATATCACATGTGTATATGGAATAGGCATAACAGCACATTAAATACTTAGTATATTATACAAATCCTTTGATATCAGCTAAAAGGAGAAAATAGGTATTTGTCTTTCATATTTACATAATTACTTATAATGGTGTTCTCTTCATGTTGATATCAATTACCATCGTGAGTTACTTGCTTTCAACCTGAAGAATTCCTTCAATAATCTCATAAGGCAATTGGCTATTAATATATTTTCTCAGTTTTTCTTAAACTGGAAAAGTCTTTATTTCTTCTTATACATTACACAGTAGTTTTGTGCACTTTGGATATGTTATCCCTCTGCCTTCTGACCTCCCTTTTCTCTGCTGAGACATCTCTTGTTAATTTTACTGGAGTTTCCTGTAAGAGTTGGGTAATTTTTTCCATTGTTGTTTTTTCCCCCAGCGTATAGTTCCTACTTTCCTGTACCTTTGCGTGTCTCATATTTTTGACGCAAATTAGACATGCAACTGTGAGTATTGGTCCCCTGCCTACTGGAACTTTTTACTGTTATTAGCTTATTTGTTCAGTGACTGGATGGATTATTTTAGTTAAGTCTATGCCCTCCACACAGAATGAATATAGCTGATACAGCTCCTCTGATATAGCTCCTAGAATCGGGCATGGCTTTAGGTATGTTTAACGACATGAGACAGTGGTATTGGTAGGGCTCTCTTCCTCTTTCGTGGACACACTCAGTGTGTCCTGATTAAATTAGATTAATTAATCCTGGTTAAATTAGATTAATAGCTGGCTGATTGCTTTATTGTTTTCACAAATGACCTGGGGGCAGAATTCGCTCTACCAAATACTCCAGTGAAACTCGGGCTCTTTTGTAGAAATACTTTCTGAAGTCACTGCTTCATATTTGATCTGACCCTTGGAAGCCTCCTCCCAGCAGTCGAATTCCCTGGTTCTTTCCAGGAAACTAGTCAGCCTACAGTCTAAGCTGTATCTTCATTACATACAACAGTCTACTAATTGCCTTTCACCTCAATCTCCACCTGCTGGAGAGCGTCCCTGTTTTGAACTTTTCATGATCTTTTGCTGGTCAATTTAATTCCTTTGGGAAGGAATTAACAGCTTTGTGTTTTATGTCTGGCTTTTCCCTATGTTCAGGTAAAATCTCTGTGCCAGGACTCTGGAGCTGTGGTGGGGACATTAGGAAGCCTCCCATTGGGTGACAATCCATTTTAGGGGCTGAGTGATCAGTGTAGTGGAGAGACAGCAGCCAGAGGTCCTCTTGATTGTCTCCTGTTACAGCCACCTCATGAGCTGGGGAAAGAGTGACCAGTGCCCAGTATTCTCAGCAAAGCATGAGCACAGCAGAGCCTCTGTACCAGGAGAAGGGGCTGGGTGCAAGAAGGGGGTCCCCACTGTCCATGTGAACCAATGAAGGACTTAAACTCAGCAATAGGGAGCTGAGGGCAGGATGGGTAATGTTGAAGTCCTGCTCATCCCAGGAAAAAGCCTCAAATCTGGAGATTTAGAGAGAGAGAAACGTGTCTTCTGATTCAGGGTGCAGCACTCTGGAGAGAAGTGTTCACTTCCTGAGCCGAGAGTGGGGAGGGAGTGGCCATGGTTCAAATCCCACATACTCTCCCCTTTCTCACAGAATTTCCATTGATTTTCTGGAATAGATGTTCCTCATATGCTGTTTGCCTTTAGGACAATTTCCAGAGGCTTCAAATGGTTGTTTTAAAATAATTCCCACCAGTTTCACTGGGGAGTGGGTCATTGGAGCTCCTCATATTATTATATGACCCTAGTGCATTTAATACACTGCCCACATCAGAAACCCTCTCCAGATTGATATACAAAATTGCTCTCCTCAAAGTCACAATCACTGCTGAATGACTAAAGCCAATGGTAGCTGTAAATCTTAATATACTTGACAGCAGCTTTAATTCAATTAATCACAAACAACTTTGGTTTCTAAACACCACACTCTCCTGGTTTCCTCCTGCCCTATAGGCTGATCCTTTTCAATTTCCTTTGCTAGTTACTCCTCTCTCTCTGACATCCAAGTGAGGGCCCAGGACTAAGTCTCTGGATCTCTTCTCATCTCCCTCTCTCCCTGCCTCCCTCTCCCTCCACACCACTCTCTCACACACATATACCCCATATCAAAGCCATCAGCATATTCTGCCAACCTGGTACCCTCTAGTCATTAGAATTATCCCCATTTTAGAGGTGAGGAAACTGAGCCACAGAAAAGTTATGTACCTGTCCAAGGTCACACAATTAATTAGTGGCAGAACTGGGATTTGTACGAAGGGAGGCTAGCTTTAGAGTTCTGGTCATCGAGGTTTCCAAAAAAATTGAGGTATAATTTCAAGAATGCTTTTTGATAACGACAAAAAATAAACAATTTCTAAGTTTCTTCCAACTAGGCAATTGAGTAAGTAAATGTACACCTAATATAAAACACAGCTTTGTAAACCAAAACTTATCTTTAATAGTCTATAATGGAATTTCCCACTCAGTTTTATAATCTTTGTGTTTGTATACATAATTTTTAAAAATTGGGATACTTTTTTCTGTTGCTTTTTTTTTTCCAATTCAAAATGTATCATAACATTTTATCCATTACAATAAAGTACCCTTGCTAAAATTAAACTTCAAGTTTTTGGAAACCTTGAGAACTAGAAGTAAGGAAATTTGCCATTTTAAAACTGCAAGCAATTTTTCTATTTCTCTAGAAATAGAGGATTGAATTCACCGTAGGGGAGGAAAAATAATTTTCCTTCTACCCTTCTAGGTTCTTGGCTGAGATCCTCCTGAAATAAAAAGATAGATCAACAGGAGAAAAAAAAACAATTTTCATTATGTATGTATGGGAGCCCCACAAAGATATGTGACTCAAAAGGCAGCCAGGCTATTGAGGCTTATACACTTTCCTGAGCTAAGGAAAGGGATAGGGGTCTGGAGCTTCAAAAGGAGGAGAGGCAATTCACAGGAAGCTGAGAAGAGGAAATCTGTGGTAAACAAAGTTTGCCCTGCCATGCAGATAAGTCTCTCACATGACAAAGTGATCACTGGTAGTAGCTCTCTTCCTGGTACAGGCCCCCTTTCTAACATAAATTTCCCTAACAAAAGGGTTACTTCTACTCTATTGTCAGAGCTTCTCCTGTGTCTGCAGTTTCTCAAAATAATCAGCTCAAAATAATCCTTATGCCAAAGAGGCATATTTTGGGCTGTCACATTCTACTATCCTTCATTACCTTTAACACATTGAGTGTTTGGGCAAAAACACCCTTCGGTTTTGCAAAGAGGTAAAGATCCTATTCTGAAAAAGGAAATATTATTCTTCACGGAAATAGAACAAAGAATCCTAAAATTTATATGGAACAACACAAGACCCTGAATAGCCAAAGCAATCCTGAGAAAAAAGAACAAAGCTGGGGGCATCAAAATCCCTGACAAAGCTATAGTAATCAAAACAGCATGGTACCAGCACAAAAACAGACACAGATCAATGCAACAGAACTGAAAGTCCAGAAATAAAACCACACATCTATGGACAGCTAATCTTCGACAAAGGAGCCAAGAACATACAATGGAGAAAGGAAAGTCTCTTCAATAAATGGTGCTGGG